AACTACGTTCGAACACTTCTTCATTAGCCCTTTTACCATGCATTCATTTTTAAGGGGAATTTGGAATTGAAAATGAAACAAAAATCTGAACAGATACGCAGCCAGATTTTCATTGGGTTAAATATCATCACCTATCATCAACAGTGGTGTATTTTTGCCCTAACAAAACAGTGGAGGAAAAAAACAGAAAGCACCAAGACTAAGGAGATTTTTTTCCCCTCTAGTGGGGTTTCTCCTATAAGTGTTTGAAGAATTCAAGATTCCCAAACAATTTGATCGGATCTGTATTTTATAGATCAACACGCAGATCAGTGTTAGCCAAAAGCTTTTGACCTCCATGGGATGTTTTTAAGTTAAATCTACAGTTGCAGAACATTTCAGGTGTATATGCACATTTTTATGTGTCATTAAAAACAAAACTCTACAATTCTGAAGATGCAGAAAGCGTACAAATGCATGGATCCACATAAGCGACAAAGATGAGACTACACTGGGTGCAGAATATATCTTGATGTGGTCAATTTATATACCTGCCCACCTCACTGGTGGCTGCAACTCTGGATAATACATATCCGAATAAAAACCAACAGCAAAAGACATTAAGATTAATGTAACGCTAACTTTTCTCCAAATTTCAGCTGTGAGGGAAACCCTGAGGATAATCTTTTGTTTGGAAGGAAGAATTTCAAAGGAAGCAAATTAGAATTTCAGTCCAGTTGGTGAATTCTATAATCCGTTTGGCTGAGGGCTCTCGCCTCAGCCTAGGAACCATTCCTGGTTCTCTATAAGAGGCAACTTAGAGGGTCTTTTTTTTTTTGCAAATTGCAGGGCAATTTGTATTATGTAATCCATGAAATGGGAAGAACTAAAATAAAATGGGCTGTGCTGGAGCAACAATTACACCCTTTCGAAATTACAACGGCACTGAAGAAAGTTAACATATGACCTCTTTTCACACTTATGACTTCTGAAGCGTTCCCAGGGTCGCGTGATCAAAATTCAGACGCCTGGCAACCGGCTCATATTTATGACGGTTGCCGTGTCTCTGGGGAAACCAGATTCACTTAACAACTGTGGCAAGAAAGGTTGTAAAATGGGGCACAATTCTGTCCTGTCCTGTCCTCTCCTGTCCTGTCCTACCTTACACTACCCTACCCTACCCTACTCTATTCTTCAGTCCATTATTCTATTCTATTCTATTCTATTCTATTCTATTCTATTCTATTCTATTCTATTCTATTCTATTCTTCATTCCATTATTCTATTCTATTCTATTCTATTCTATTCTATTCTATTCTATTCTATTCTATTCTATTCTATTCTATTCTATTCTATTCTATTTATCCAAATTTAAATATGGGCAATCTGGAATGCAAGATGGTCGTGAAACATTTCCCCCCAAAGGAAAAAAGAGACACCAATTTCCAGAGAGGTGGGAAATGCCGTTTTTAAAACACACACCTAGCTTTTCATGTTTGGCGTACCTCCCAGAATTTGTATTACTGGGCCTCAATTCCCTGCTGATCCATATTGAAATAAATCTTCTCCCCCCCATATTAGCGATGTGATTAAAGAAGGAAAACAAAGATGGAGGTTTGTTTGTACACATGTGTTTGCATCCTTTGCTGTCAGGAAAAATAAATCAGGAACAGGCAGAAGATCTTGGAAGGCATTCGCAGAAATACCTATCGGCCAATGCAGGCCTCTTCTTCTTCTTGATCCACTCGCAAGCCAATCGTTTTGAGCAGCCTACGTTTTAGACGAGAAGACCAATATCTATGGAGAGTCTTAGTTGTCCAGGTCATGGCTGTCCCGAAGATGCTTTTTTCAAGAGGCAACTGGACTTTGTTTTTCTTTGAAGACGTTTCGCTTCTCATCCAAGAAGCTTCTTCAGCTCTGACTGGATTGTGGGAATGGAAGGATTCAATCAAGAGCTGAAGAAGCTTCTTGGATGAGAAGCAAACCGTCTTCAAAGAAAAATCAGGAAGTCCAGTTGCCTGCTGAAAAAGCACCTTTGGGACAAGAGAAGAAAGCCAACTTCTTTTGACTGAAGATACCAAAAGAGCTTGGAAGAGAATTGCTGACCATATAATCCAGGGGTCTTCAAACTTGGCAACTTTACAACTTGTGGACTTCAACTCCCAGAATTCCTCAACCAGCCCTGGCTGGCTGAGGAATTCTGGGAGCTGAAGTCCACAAGTCTTAAAGTTGCCAAGTTTGAAAACCCCTGATATAATCTCCAGGTATTCGTGGACGGTGCTGAACGTGGAAGGTTACAGCCGTGGTGCAGCCCACGCCTCTTCAACTCCAAACCTCCTCCTGCTTCAACGCCACTTCTGCTAACTCGGCAATTGCGCCGCTGACAGATTTCGAGGTTTTTCTAAATAATGCATAGGGTTTTCTTTTAACGTTTCAGTGCAGAAGTATCAATTTTGCCCTCGTGTCATTTGTGATGATGATTTTCCTTGACAGCATTCCATTAAACCAATGAGTTCCTCCCCTCCTGATGCTCCTTTAAATATTCCTCTGAGTGATGTATTTGTGGGCTTTTTTTTTCCTTTAAAAAAACAAAAAACAACCAGATTGTGAAGATGTTTGCATTACGAGGGGGTAATAATAATAATAATAATAATAATAATAATAATAATAATAATAATCTGTAATACCATCAAACATCCACATCTGCCTATCCCAGGTCCTGGGTAAGGACTCGATAGGTAGACAAAATGCCAAATCCAGTCTGAACATCTGGCTGACTGTGCAACGATCAATAATAATAATAATAATAATAGGAACTGCTTCCATCCTGAGATGATATCTGTAATACCATCAAACATCCACATCTGCCTATCCCAGGTCCTGGGTAAGGACTCGATAGGTAGACAAAATGCCAAATCCAGTCTGAACATCTGGCTGACTGTGCGATGATCAATAATAATAATAATAATAATAATAATAATAATAATAATAATAATAATAATAATCTGTAATAACATCAAACATCCTTATCTGCCTATCCCAGGTCCTTGACTCTTTTATGACTCGGGGACTTGGCTCTTTATGACTCGTGGACTTCAACTCCCAGAATTCCTGAACCAGCATGGCTCAGCTTGGAAACCTCTCCCTTTCCCCTCAGCGTGGCTGGCTCAGGAATTCTGGGAGTTGAAGTCCACAAGTCATAAAAGAGCCAAGGTTGCCTACCCTTGGTCTAGTGAAAATGGCACTATGGCAAAACCCAGGAAGAGGAATAAGCATTCTTCCTCATGTTTTAGAAGTCAACCGGCAAGTTCAAACGCTTTGTAATTCTGCACCGAAGTGTGTGTGTGGCAGTGTGTCTTCAAAAGGACGGAAGATATACTGTTCAAAACAAACTGTAAAGCCCATATTTCTGATTTGACAGCTACAGTTATAACCATTCAAGCGCTCTATTTCCTTCCAGAACTCTTCAAAAGCCGTAACCTTTCGTGATTAATTATAAAGTTTCAGGAGCAATAGTACATAGACTAATTTCCTAAAACAATAAAAAGACAGAAATTTCTCATTTGGAACTAAATGAAACACGAACAGGTTGTTATTCATGCTGAAATCAAGATGCACGGTCATGTTGCAACCATTAGAGAAGCTATTAAACGCAACCCCGAATCAAAGAAACTGAGGTCTGTCTCCTTAAAATAAAATGTTTGCCTCGGTGAACGTGGCTTACTGCTTTTGTGTGTGTTTGTGTGTGTGACTGCTTTTGTGTGTGTTTGTGTGTGTGTGTGTGTGCGAGCGCGCGCACGCTGCGCCTGCTGATTCCAGAAGAAGTGACTTTGAAAACCCAATCTTTTATTTTTGGCTTAATCTCGCCATTTTATTCATTTTTCAGCCCTGATGGAGACGTAGGGTCAAATACTTTTATGTTACACACCACTTCACAAATCTTGGGTCATAGGCTGCATTAACAGAGGGACAGAATCAAAATCACATGAAGTGTTAATACCACTTTACAATGCCTTGGTAAGGCCACACTTGGAATACTGCATCCAGTTTTGGTCACCACGATGTAAAAAAGATGTTGAGACTCTAGAAAGAGTACAGAGAAGAGCAACAAAGATGATCAGGGGACTGGAGGCTAAAACATACAAGGAACGGTTGCTGGAATTGGCTATGTCTAGTTTAATGAAGAGAAGGACGAGGGGGGACATGATAGCAGCCTTCCAATATCTCAGGGGCTGCCACAAAGAAGAGGGAGGCAAGCTATTCTCCAAAGCACCTGAAGGCAGGACAAGAAACAATGGATGATCCTGGGATACAGCAACCGTCATAAATATGGGTCAGTTGCCAAGCATCTGAATTTTGATCACAGGACCAGGGGGATACTGCACATGGTCCTCAGTGTGAAAAATGGACATAAGTCACTTTTTCAGTGCCGTTGTAATCTTGAAAGGTCACTACACAAATGGTTATCAGTTGAGAACTTACCTGCATCAGAGGTACCTTGCCATTGCCTGCTTCCTAGGGCTGAGGGAGAGAGACTGGCCCAAGGTCACCCAGCTAGCCTTCCTCCTCAGGTGGAAATAAAACTCACAATCTTCTTGTTTCTAGCCTTAACCCCAACATCAAACTGGCTCAATTTCAGAATATTTAGTATTAGGGCCATGAATAGCCTTTGCATCCAGGCTTTTCCTGCCAATTACAGATGGTTTCTTAAAGGAGGGGTAAAAAATAACATAATTCATGTTGCATTAAGAAATAATGGAAAGTCGGCTTTCCCCTGCATTCCTGCAGATGCGTTAGGTGTGATGTGCTCTCTTGTTTTCCAATAAAATGACTGTTCTAAAGGAAGCACCTTATGCAAAATAGTAGCGAAGTGAAAATAAAACCTCTTTTAGGATCTAATGCAACCCTTCATAAAGTCCAGTCGTCTTTTTGGAGAAAAGCACCTTTAGGAGAAACCATGGCCTGGATGATGGAGAGTATCCACAGACATGCAACAATTCACAGTTGAAGACTTGCTTTACCTGCATTTGAATTCAGTTCTTCGTTCTCCGACTCGGTTCCATTCTGACTTCCGCTTCCATGGAGGCTATTCATGGCCATAAGCTTAATCTTCTGCAACTTCATTGCTTCAGCCATGGCTGTAAGGCCTGTTTGCAGAGGGAGAAAGGGAAAGAGAAAGAGAAAGAAAGAGAGAAAAAGAGAAAGGAAGAGAAAGAGAAAAAGAGAGAGAATTAAGCTTACGTTAACAAATCAGACTAGATTCCAAACATTACTAATCTACCAGTTTTGACCAGATTTCAGCATCCATAAAACTCTAGATCAGTGGTTCTCAACCTATGGGTCGGGACCCCATTTGGGGTCGAACGACCATTTCATGGGGGTCGCCAAACAAGGCTGTCCACCATTTTTCCCCCTTTTCTTTGGCCACGCCCCTGGCACCCAGTGATGTATAAGTGGTTGGGGGTCACCACAACATGGAGAACTGTATTATGGGGTCGCGGCATTAGAAAGGTTGAGAACCACTGCTCTAGATAATCCTCAACTTACGACCACAATTGGGATCAAAATTTCCATTGCTGAGCAAGGCAGTTGTTTAAGGGAATTGCGCCCAATTTTACAAGCAAATCATTGTTAAGTGCTTCATGCTGTCGTTTAGCAAATCCAAATTCCCCCACTGGTTGTCAGAAACTGACTGGGATGGTTATAAAAAATTCTCCAGGAAACTAGAAAGGATCCCTTCACAGATATAGGTATCTGTGTATATTTTTCCTAGAGTTTTTTCTCCCCCAAACATTTTAACCTAATTTAAGGGGATGGTGTGTGTCTTTTTCTCTAGTATGTGTACTTCTAATACACAATTGGGTAAATGTTGGCATGATTGTGACCTTGCTTCTTTATACTTTTGGGAACTGCTAGTTTGGCTCTTTTTTCTTAAAATGTGAATAAAGCATGAACCATTTCTCCTCTGCTCCTAACAGGGAGACAATCCCACAATCTCAGAAAACTTTGCTTCTTTTCTCCTTTTTGTAAGACCAAGTTACACCTTTTAAGCTTATGTATTGGAGGCATATACATAGTGAAAACCTGCATTTTTCCCGAATAACTATTCCCAAGAGTCTACAAAAAACAGTAAAGAAAAGAGAATCTGCAGATTAATAGAGGCTATCCGTTATTAATTGCTCAAAACAATTAGTGGAAATTAAAACTAATATCAGTTAGATAATTGTGCATTAATAAGATTACTCCAAACCAATATATGGAGCAAATAACTTAATGGATGGATTATTAATGATATTAAGGGTTGAACAGATGGATATTAAAGACATGGCAGATGCTACCTAGAACGGATGGAATTTGTTTAAAACAGTCTTTGAACAACCGGTAAATTATATATTCTCCCATTGGAAGGTAAGCCAGATTAATGTTTTCCCATAGATGGCTATTTTTAAATAGCTACTATGAAGACCTTGTCTTAATGGTCTCTATCTCCATTAGATGCCAAGGCTGTTCCAGCATCAGTAGAATGGAAGAAGAACAGAAAAGTGAAGATCCTTTTGGTTTCCTAGTTAGGACACAACTGTGCAGGTTTTGGGAGGCAGCTGTACAAAAATGGTTTACTATTAACTTTGGCCAGAGTGATTTTTCAACTGTCTGTCTACCCTACAGGCAGAGATGGTCCTAGATGACATATTTGTTCAGTCTAATTACACAGAGACAGGCTTCAAAAAAGACAACACATAGAGAAAGCATGGTTTTTCACGCTGAGCATCCTTTCTAACCTCCCCTTAGCTCAGTGGTTCTCAACCTTTTTAATGCCGCGACCCCCAACCGGTCGTAAGTCGAGGACTACTCAACCGGTCGTAAGTCGAGGACTACTCAACTGGTGCAGCACCGTTTGCAGAATGGGACTTTGGCGGGCTCAGCAGGGCAGAGACAGCCTGGACAATTCCTATTGGCTTTTGAAAGCCAATAGAATTAGACTCTATTCAAGAGAGTCTATTCTATTGGCTTTCAAAAGCCAGTAGAATAAAAGGGAGTAGCACAGCTAAGGAAAAGGGGGAAAAAATGGCGGACAGCCTTGTTTGGTGACCCCCGTGAAATGTTCAACCCCAAATGGGGTCCCGAACCACAGGTTGAGAACCACTGCCTTAGCTGCTTTGAAACATTCCCTCTATCATTTACCATTTAACTCTGTTGTTTGTAGGCCACTGGCCACATGGAAGAGTGGTATAAATTATCTCTGCCTCTGAGTAGACAAATCCATGCAGTGGTTTCCCCTTGCTGTCCATTCCTAGGGCTAAGAGAAGGGGATTGGGCTAAAGTCACCCATCTGGTTTCAAACCTAAGGCAGAACTAAAACTCCTGGTCTCCCAGTTTCTAGCCTGGTCCCTTGTACCACTACCACCCAAACTGACTCTCAAATGACTTGCATGTACCTACCAATCTAACACTGATGATGTTACCTAGTTGGGTAGTGAAACGTCCGCAAGAAAGCAACCAAGCTCATAGAACACCGAGGACCCCCACAGTTCAATCTTGAGCTACATATACTCTGTTCTATCAGTACCAGTTCCTACTAGTGTCCTTAGAGTTTACTCAAGGCCACAAACCATTTTGGCAAATAAAAATGGCTCCAGAGACTGCCACGGTGTGCCGACTCCTGCTTTAAAAAAAAAAGTTAGGGAGCCAGATGAATACTAAAGGCTGTTTTTGCGACTGTGTTGGTGTCCATGAATCACAGTTGAGGATGTGAGCCTCAGAATATTCTTTATTGGCCAAGTGTAATCTCTGATGCATAAAATCTTGGTATACATACAAACAGCAAAGAGATATTATCATAAATCGTAAAACACAATCATAAGAAGACAAGCGAGTGGTCAGATGAGGAGACCCGAACTCACTGGTAGCCTCACACTGCAAAGAACAAGGACACAAGTTCAATTTTGCAGCTACTAAGATTGTTGGATGAGCAGGCACAAAAACAGCCAGGGAAGTGATTGAAGCCTGGTAAACAGGCCCCTCAACAGGAGTGCTGATTTATCACCAGCCTATCAAGTACTCAGAAGGTTAGAACTGGGCAGCACAAGTAACGACAGTCAACAATTTAAAAGCCAGCCATCAGCACACCCCAATCAACATCTAAAAAGCCACTTACAACACACACTCTAAATACCACACACAGAACAGCACACACTCTGCTAGAGAGAAGTTCCCTGCAGATGGGCTCCAGCACGAGTCCAAAAGCTCAATTCCAAAACCTCTGGTTCCGGTGACCGACCTAGATTGGATCCTGCGACAATCATAAGATACACGTTCCAGATTGTTCCGGCTGCACCCCAGGGCCAGTTTGAATTCAAGATTTAACTACCATTCTATACTGAAACCTACTTTGTTATTTCTCTAGAGGTCTTTTTTTTTTTTAACCTGTGGAAGAGACTTCAGGTATTTTTTTTTCTACCTGTCTCAGGCAAAATATACACTTCTTTTTAATTTCTCCCAGTAAGGTGATGGGCACTACTGCTTCCTGTGGCCTCTTTTTACCTCATTCTGAATTATTCACGAACAACCCTAGCCAACCCATGGAAACCTTTCCTTCTTTATGGAATTAACTGGAAGCTACAAAAGCTGCAGATACAGGAGAGACGAGAGGACAAAGAAAAATAGAACGTTCACATTGATCTTTTGGCCGCTAAGTTAAATGACTCAACAAGTGCCGTTTTCCATCTGTGAAAAGGTTTGCTTTGAATTGTAATGAATGAAAAGTATCATTAAAACGGAGTGAGAACAGATAGGGGGGAAAAAACACAGCAGAACTATATATTTTGGACACATCTTTCTCTTGTACCTTCTCCCTTGCGCTCTCCCTAAGGGTAGGGGAGGATTTGATGCCAATGGGTCCCCCTCCCCAATCTACGCAACTGCACAGAGAACCCAGTGTGTTTATTCGTGAATGCACACACGAGGAGTAAAGGATTATAAACTTGTGCCCAAATGCAACAAAACAAAAATAACCTCTCGTCCATAGCAGAACACAGTAAAACAAAAAAAAAAGTTGGATGCTGTCTATTTTTAAAAGTAATGTGTAGTTTGACCGTCTCATAATAATTCAATGTTATAGCCTGATAAGAGATATGCTCGTAAGTATTGCCCCAATTGGTCACAAAGTAGTAGTAGTAGTAGTAGTAGTAGTAGTAGTAGTAGTAGTAGTAGTAGTAGTAATAATAATAATAATAATAATAATAATAATAATAATAATAATAATAATGGAAGGGACCTTGGAGGTCATCAAGTCCAACCCCCTGCTCAGGCAGGTAACCTTACACCATTTCGGACAAATGGCTGTCCAGTTTCTTCTTTAAAAACTTCCAGTGTTGGAGCAGGGGGTTGGACTAGATGACCTCCAAGGTCCCTTCCAACTTTATCATCATCATCATTATCATTATTATTATTCACCGCTTCTGGAGGCAGGTTGTTCCACTGGTTAATTGTTCTAACTGTCAGGAAGTTTCTCCTTAGTTCTAGGTTGCTGCTCTCCTTGGTTAGTTTCCATCCGTTGCTTCTTGTCCTGCCTTCAGGCGCTTTGCAGAATAGCTTGACTCCTTCTTCACTGTGGCAGCCCCTGAGATATTGGAACACTGCTATCATGTCCCTCCTCGTCCTTCTCTTCATTAAACTGGACATACCCAATTCCAACAACCGTTCTTCGTGTGTTTTAGCCTCCAGTCCCCTGATCATCTTTGTTGCTCTTCTCTGTACTCTTTCTAGAGTCTCAACATCTTTTTTACAAGTGTTCAACAGAGCTGCACCACCCTTATAAGGATAGTTTGGTCAGTATGCAAAGACAGCACCCAAAAACAATGACATCAGAAAACTACTCTAGAGGAGGCTTTGACATGACCAGCGCATCTTCTGCACTCCAGGAGAACATCCGAACCAAACAACATTCTTGCAATAAAGTTATTTCCTTCCCCCGGTCTGTAATTGGTTAGATACAGTCCCCCATCACTCTGCATTAAATTGGAAGCATTTCTGTCCAAACTGCAAATGAGTAAATTAACGAAAGAGGGGCTATGAGTAATCAAATCTGGAAGTATGCATTTAATTAAAATCGAACGCCAAAACACAGCATTGTCGTACGGTTCCTCAT